CCCCAAAACCCCAAAACCCCCTTAGTAAATATTGAGATTCTATATTAAAATAAGATCAGTTGTTATTATATTAAGTAAATCATATATAATCATTTAGTATAAGTCAATCATTCTCGCTAAATTACATATCAAATCTGTCTATGCTTAGCAATCTGATGTCGCTATTTTATTGAATACTTAAGGGTCGATTAGAGTCAATCCCATGCTTATTTTAATTATCATCTAATTTGAAATACTCTTCATCATCCATTATGATTTCTTTGGGAGACTTAAAGTATTTTTATTTGGCTTATAATTTTCTAGAGTATATTGGATCCAGTTCTAAAACATTTAACTAAGCAGAACAGAAATTTTTATTGATACCACCAAATACAATTAAAGATGTTCCAGAAATAGTACTGCAATGAGAGAATCTCTCTTAAGGCACTAAGCCAGTTATGTTGACATCATACCATGTCATTGTATACAGACTAAAAATCCAGACATCATTCATTACTTGCTATCTGTTTTAACTTTTACTCTTGACATCAGATCTCCCTCCGAATAAAACTAAGATATTTTGCTCAGACGAAAAGTTCATTGAATGAGAATAACGAGGGCAAGGTGGCTTTCCCTTTGTCTCCACCTTTTTCCATTCAAGATAAGACTTTCCAGTAAGTAGCATAGTTAAGGTGTTTGTTGGGAATCCTTTTGAGTTTTTTCCTCCGAAAATATAAACTCCCTCTTGCCGTATTCCTCCTTAAGGATTTTACATCATAGATTACTGTATATCTGGATGCTTGAAGATTCCAAAAGCTTAGTTAAGATAACGTTCTTTTTTATATACTGCTGCACATTAATGGAAAGCTAATTCACCGGGGCTCTCCCCTTTTATTGTTATTCGATGCCACTCCTTTGAATCTATACACTCATTAATGCAAAGTCAATTAAATCTTACAAATATCATAAATTACAGGTTCATTTATTATCTGTCCCTTGGTATTCAAGCCGCCATGAATAAATAAATTGTGACCAATGATAGCCATAACATGATCCTTTCTAGGTTCGCATATCAGTTTATTGCCAGCATGAATCTAAGTAAACTCTCCTCTCTTGAAATCAAAGGACCATAAATCACACAAAGTTTCCCTCATTTTTACCTCAGGATTATACTTATACTCACCCCCGAATATCAATACTTTATTTCGATAGTTGCCAGCAGTATGTCCATATCTTTATAAAGGTCTCTTTGACTTGACATCAACCGGAGCCCATTTAGCAGTTACCACGTCAATTTGATAAACATCATTAAGTGAAGATTTACTATATCCTCCAAACATGATAATTTTCTTCCCAATTTCAGTCAGTGTAGAAGCTATTCTGATTGGTGGAAACCATATGTTTTCTTTAATTTCCCAATGGCAAGATATCACTTCTAATTCTTTTTTTGTCAACTGTATAGATTACTACCTTCCAAGTTCTTATCTGACATGGTCTACTTTTTTAATATCATCTTCACTTTTATCATTTTTCTCAGAATTTTCTATTTTACCTTATTATGTTTTATTCCTTCTACGAGCTCTAATATCTTCCATTAGTTTTGCTCCTGCATTTTACTAGTTTTCCTCATCCAATTCAAAAGAAATAATTTTATTTGGAGAATTACCTTCATTTGAAGCTCTTCTTGAGAAAAACTTATAAGATTTTTTTACTTTAGGCATTCGTTACTAATTCCAGTCGTGCTATTTTTACATCTTTATTATATTCTCTAGTAATTACTTCTAGTTTTGTTTCATTTACAATTCAATCTTTCCATGCACAATTTTATTGTTATCTAAGAACATGTTACTCTCTTAGATAGTTTTGTACGTTGTATCTCTCATTTCGTTCTCAGGTCTTACATCTTGATGTTCAAGCTTATTCCAAAGTCTTTTCATGGATTATATCTATTTTAAAACTGGCAATGATTATGATTAAAATGTCTTCTGCAGTTCATGTTGCTATATATTGCACATCATCTTTATCTTTTTGATTCTATCATCAGCCTCATTTGGAAGGTTTATCTAACTTCTTACTGGACTTAAGTATTGAGATTAGTAAAACTCAGAAATATTCTTTTCAACGTCCAAATGTGAACTGCTTTAAAATGTTTAAGTTAGTGTAGTCATAGGAGTTCCTCCCCTAGAAGCAAATCTCATTGATGTAACTGGGCTTTGTATAGCTGAATGCGGAGTGAATACATTTCCATAGTGTGATAATCCAATCTAGGGGATTTTGGAAGGTGCATCTTACTTTTATTTCATTAAAGGTGAAGCATTTTTACTGCTAAATGCACTGTAATTCGTAAGATTAAAGCTATTCATTGTTTTTGCAAACATTTTGTGATTGTTATTTGAGCTGGCAGTTGCAAAGTATTACGATGCAGAAGTTGTTTAGTTTTTCATTTATCCTAATTGTAAATATCAATCAATTTTATTTTATTAATCCTATCGTTAATAATCATCATTCTTTAATAAATTACTCATCTATGGGGTTTTGGGGTTTTGGGGTTTTGGGG